TTTATTTTTAATTATTTAATTTATCTAATTTATATAATTTATTCAAAATACCAATTATTTTTTTTTAATATTATATTATTTATTTTATTTTAATATTATTGAATCTAAATTTATTCTCTTTTAAATTAATTTTATTTAACAATAATTAATATAATACTAATTTTACTCTAATTTAACTTGTATCATTTAGATTAAATTAATATTATACTTATTATTTCTTAATATTATACTTCTTCTAAATTAATCTTATAATTATTTTTAAGTAATGTCACTTATTATATAGATTTATATTATATTTATATATATTTAAACAAATATAATTTAATATAAAATAAAATAATTCTTAATTGATTTGAAAGTAATAAAAGTATAGAAGTTAACTAATACTTCTAAATAATTTTTTACTTATTATTATCTTTGATTTATTATTTATCTAACTTTGACTTATCTAACTAATAAAAGTCATATTTTATAATTTAATAAATTATTCGTATTTTTGAATTACAAAATACTTATCTAACTAGTGGAATTATTTCTTTTTAATACTCTCTTTCAACCATTTAGTATCTAACTTTCTCAAGTATATACAGTCATTATTATTATTTTTATATAATTATTATAATTAATTTAATATCTTGTCTATTCATATAAAATATATTTTATTATATATAAATTCTAAAATTATATAAATTAATTTATAAAAAATATAATATATTAGATATAGTTAAAAACAAATTATAATTAATAAAAATATTAAGAAAAGTTCAAAAAAAATTAAATTATAATAGTACACATTTCTACACTATATTACTGAAAATTGAAAATAAAGAATAATAAAATTAATATTATTGTTTTATATTAAAATTTGTTATTTTATTAATAAATATTTTTTATTTTTATACTGAAATAAAGATGGTAATCTATATTTTTAATATATATTCTTTTAGAATTTTCTGTTCACTTGTAAACATGGAATAAAATTTTTTATAATTAAAATTAAAAAAATTACAATTTTGATTATAAAAAATTTTTTTCAGAATATTCTAGAAAAATATAGATTATTATCTTTATTTTAGTATAAAAATAAAAAATATTTATTAATAAAATAACAAATTTTAATATCAAGTAATAATATCAATTTTACTATATTTTATTTTTAATTTTTAGTAATATAATATAGGAGTGTATATATATTAATAAAAAATATAATACATATATAGTGCATAATATTTCTATTTATTAAAGATTTAATATAATTTTAATTTATTTAATCTTTCAAATTTGGTAATTTTAACAAATTAAATTATGAAATAATAAATTTAATAATTTTTTTAAATTAATAGTTTATTTTTTTAATTACTTACTTTCTATAATATAACTATAAAATTAATAAAATTAAAGTTAAAATTAAAGTAAATATCAAAATTATATATAAAATTATTTTATTAATATTTTTTATTAGTATTTTAATTTAGATTTAAATATTTATTTTTCATATTTTTTATTTTTTTACATCAAATTGTTTTGTTAACTATTAAAAATTTGTATATTCTTATTGATTTGTATCATTAGTAAATTATATTTTATTAAATTATAATATATATTTTAGGAACATTAAAACTTAATAATATAATATAAAAAATTAAATTAATTAATAAAATTAAAATATATAACTAAAATTATATAAGAATTTTATTTAAAATTTTAAACTAATTTATATTTTGAATAAATATAAATATAGTTAAATTTTAATTATATCTTTTTATAATTATTTTTATATATTTAAAGAGAATATATAATTATAAAAAATATATTTGAAAGATATTATTTATATATTTTTTTGAAATTTTAGATTTAATTTGAAAATTATTTAATTGCAAAGTTATTATAAAAATTTTTATAATAACTTTATATTTTAATTATAAAAACTTTTTGTAATAACTTTATATTTAAAATAACTATGTCAAAAAAATCTAAAAAATATATGTTAAATTATAACTTATAATTTTTATTTTGATATAAAAATAAAATATATCTATTAATAAAATTAAAAACTTTAATATAAGACAAAAATTTTAATTTTTCTTATAAAATCACATATATAATTTTATAATTTTATTAATTATTATATAATTTTATAATTTTATAATTTTATTAATTACTATATATTATTATTTAAAAGTTTATATTTTTTTAACAAATATTTTTTATTTTAAATTTATTAATAAAATATAATAAAAATATAAAAAATACAGATTTTTTTTATATAAAAGTTTTAGTTAATTATATTTAATAATATAATTTTACAAAAAAATTTATTTTATTTTTAAATAGAATATAAAAAATTTTTCTTTATTTATATATTAATTTATTATTTTTTAAATTATTAGATTTTTAAGTAAATTTGTCTGCTAAAATTTTATAAAAGATTTAAAAATTTTTTTTTAAAATATTAACTTAAATTATTAATTATATAAGTTATTTTATTTTTTAATAATTAAAAAAATAAAGTTATTTTTAAACTAAAAATAAAAATTTCTGAAAAGATATTATTTTTAATCTTTGATAATATTATTAATTTTTTAAACTTATTTTTCTATAAAAATTATAGAATTTATTATAAAGCTAATATTTATTATACTATTTTTATAATTTTATTTTTAATTAGTAACAAAAAATATATATTTTACAATATATAAAAAAATTAATAATAAGAATTTTACTTTAATTAAATATAATATTTTATTATTTAATACTAGAATTAAAATTATAATAATTAATATTTTGTTATTTATAATATATAAAAATATTAAAATTAATATATTCAATTATATTTAGTTATATTTAATATAAAAAAATCTTGATATAATTATATATATTTTAAAATTTAACTATATAAAAATACTTTTTATATAAGTACTAAATTTTTATATTTTTAAAATTAATTATTATAAACTTATAAAAAAATATCTTTATATAAATTTAATTTGATATAATTATATATATAAAAATAAATAATTATAATTTATTTTTTCTAGATTTTTTAAATTTTATTTAATAAAATTATTCTAATTATAAAATTATTAAAAAATTTTTATAAGCAATTAGAATAATTTTGTTAGATAAAATCTAGAAAAAATATATATTAAAATATAAATTATAATCTTTATTTAATATAAAATTAAAACTTTTATATAAGATAAAAATTTTAATTTTGATTATATTTTATTAATAATATTATATATATATTACTAAAATAATATTAATTTAATAATATTTAAAAGCAAAATTTATTATTATTTTTTCTTATATTATTTATTTTTTATAATTAGTTTATTAACTAATTATTTTTATATAGAAACTTGAATATTTATTAATTTAAAATTAAAAAAAATCCAGTATTTTATTTTTTTAATTTGCTTTTAAATTAAAAAAAATTAAAAACTGATTTTTTTAATTTTCAGATTTATTTTGAGTTTAAATTTAAAAAAAACCAGATTTTTCAAATTTCTTCTAATTTTAAATTAAAATAAAAAACTTGTATTTTTTATTTTTTTTGAATTAAAATTGGATTTTTTTGTTTTCTAATAAATTTTTTCTTTTTATATGAAAGTTTTCAATTTTACTATATAATCAATATTTTTTTATACAAAAATACAAATAACAATCCATATTTTAACACATATTTTTCAGATTTTTTATATTTAATCTGAGAAATTTTTTCTAATTGCAAAGTAAGTTGATTAATTTTTTATAATTAAAAATAGAAAAAATTAATCATATGTTAAAATATGGATTGTTATTTGTATTTTTGTGTAAAAGAATATTGATTATTAAAATTGACAACTTTCATATAAAGAGCAAAACACGCATTTTATTATGTTTTATTAATAAATTTTGACGCTGTTGCATTTCTTTTGATTGCCACTGTATAGATTTTTTAAGTTGCATTGCTAGATGAGAATTATAAAAGGTCATAATTTTACATTATTTATTTCTAAAAAGTGTCCTCGAAAAATAGAAAATAAGTAAATTCGCACTCTTCGGAATAAAACAAAATTTCAAACATTTCAATAACTCGCACACGAGCCTATTAGCCCTCGTGCAGATGCTTTCAACAAAGCTCATTAAAAAGTTCAGAAAGATTATTCTGCTTTTCTTTAAGCTAATTCCACAATTAGTGAAAAATGTGTAATAGTATAATTAGGTAATTAATTAACTTTTACGATCTAATAGATATAAATATATTTTTTGCTATCGAAAGCTAAATAGAAGAATTTACGTGTACAAAGAGATATTTCATCTACCCACTCGCGATTTTGAGATTCCAATGGCTGCACCCCTTTGTTATCGTGTACAACTGGTAAGTACACAAAATCAATTGACGGAGAATCTGCCTATCGACTGAGAGGTTGGATCGGTGAGGAACAGGTCGAAAAAGAGAAGTCGTTATTATTGAAAGTTAACGAATGGTGGTTTATACCAGGACTAGATTCAAATCAAATAAATTATACTATAGAACATTCAATCGAACTTTTCTAAAAAAAATCACATATCGTTTAACAAAATTAATGTTCGAATCAAATGCGTAACCGCAGTTCCCCCCCCCCCCAAAAAAACCATCCAACTACGTCGTATACTCCGCCGTCCATCACATAATCATCATCTAACCAATCCAAATATAATAATACGGACCGTTGCTAATATTACATTAATTAGGCTGCATGCAACCCGCAGTCTTGGACACGAACTCACAACAAAAATGTAATACGAACAAACAAAAACAGAAAGATGTGCAAATTTGGTTTGTCGCGCCGCCGCAACATATACTGTGTAATAATCTGCGGGTAAAAGTTAAGAAAAATATAAATACAATGTGTTGATTGCTTTCTCATTACAAACTAAAACATTCTTCAATCCTCAGACAAAACAAACTAAATTAATATCTGTGACGAAATAACTGAATTTAAGCTTTCTAAAACACAAGCACTGTATTAAAAATGCCAAGCATCAACAAAACACAACAAAACGAGAACAATAGCGAGACCGAATTCTCGTTAACCAATCAAGAAGAAAAATCTTCAAACACGCTTATTCAAAAAGAAATAATAGCAATGGAAGACATACTCACACAATACGAATTAAATATTTTATGCGAACAAGAACAAAGCCAAATACAGCCAATACCGATGCAAATACCAATAATAGGCGGACACATGAAAACAGAAACTCGATTCTGGGAATTCATAATAGAGAACGAAACCACAACCTACATACGATACGGCAACATTCTATCGAACGGGGTGCTTAAAGAACGGGCGACGCAAATACAGCGACACCCTTCGTCGAAGCAGGCAAAGGCGTTTGTAAAGATGTTGATTGATGAGAAAGTTAAAGCTGGATATGTGGGATGGACAAATTTCGAAAATTAATTACCTAGAAAAAGAACTTTTATTATTATAACATTACCAACATTACCATCATAAATTATGATGGGTCCCTAAACTATAACCTAAACTATTCTAGGTTTTGGGACCATAATATATTATTAGTTTTGTACATAACATTATTTATCCTTTATCCATAGCAAATGAACTTTTTTCTTAAAAAATTACAAATTACTCTTTAATAAGAATCATTGAAAATTTAAAAACAATACATGTATATGGCTATTTAATATTTAGAAATAGAAATATTTTTAATTCCAAATGTAATATGAAAGAATGTCAAATATAACATTACATGTATTATGTTTCCTACACAATACGTATATGTTTTTCATTTTATGAAACCAATGGTAACTATTACGTACATGTATTATATTAATCCATGCAAAACGATAAACTAAAATTTCATATTCAGGATATTTTTATAAATCCAAACATATGTCACACCGTTGTATGAAGCACATGCGATTGCAAATTCTATTCGTAAAAATCGAAAATTGCAAACAATTTCGTAATGGTGGCTGACATGAATGTACATTGTCGCAATGGTGGTTAGCATGCTAGAAACTTATATTTAACGTTAATAAAAAAAAAACAAACGATCAAACAGTAGTCTCTCACCTATTTAAAATTTGAGATATATTCAAAGGAGACATGCACACATAAAGCTAAGAAAAAGTAAAAAAATACAGTATGCACACGACATAATACACGCATAAAATACACAACAATCTAGAATTCTTTCTCGTACATGTACTTCGTTCTAATTAAGAGTACAGCTAACAATAAAGAGTTTAGTTGTTAATAAAGACAGTAGAATAAAATGAATTACGTAATGAACCGCTCGTTCTCTTCTTTGCATAACAAAATCACATGTACATTAATGCTACATTACAAATTCTGCATTCACTATCTATTTATTGTTGAAACAGTTTAACAGTTTCAAAAGAATGATTATATTTGTTAGAGATCTTCTCGCGAAAATGTTGAATTTATCGAACTTTAATAACATATAAGTATCAAATATCGATATGTTTGTCGAATTTATCACAATACTATAAACTTAAACTTTAATAACATATAAGTATCAAAGGTTTTCCCCCTCAAAATCAATAATTTGTATTTTCTCAAAACTACATACAAAAATTTTGTAAATACTCTTAAAAGTAATGTCAAAATCAAAATCAAACTCAAAACAGCAAACATTCGATACCAAATTACCGCCAGAATGTATGCTACAAATACTGGAATACATTCCTTCAACAGATTTATCCACGATCTTTTCGTGTCTTCTAATAAACAAACACTGGTGCGCAACAACAACGGTAGTTCTCTGGCGAAACCCTTTTCGACTACTAAAAACACGAAGAAGACGGTCCGCGGCATCAGTACAAGATTGGCGTATACGAGCAGCACATCTTTTTGAATCTTATATTTCATTTTTGGATAATGAAGCGCGAGCTCAACTAAAACAAGTACCAATATATCTGCCCGCAAATCAATCAAAAAAATTAATGATTCAGCCGTCTAAAAGTCCTCAAAATATTATTATCAATTATGTCTCCTTCATGGATGACTCAATTGATTGTAATGAGATTTTGGACGCGGCTCATTGTTGGGTGTTGTTATTGAGAACTAAAATGGCGGCAATTGAAACGAATCGTGAAAAAGTTATTTATGAAGGGAAATTGATGCCGAAATTAAAATCAAAAATTGTATCGTATCCAGAAGGAAAACTAGTTGAAAGTAATGATAAGTCAAATCATACCAGCAATAGCCACATTTTCAATCAAAATATTAATCACGAGCAACCGCAACAACTACTACAGCAACGACAGAAACACGAAACAGAGCAACCGGAATTAAACAACCCAGTTCATCCTGAACCACTCATATCTCGAGTTCTTTGCAATTTCCTAGCAAGATGTAATCCTTTGTTATCCAAACTTCAATGTGAATTTAGGGATTGGCAAAATCGAGAAATTGTGCGAAAATTTGAAATTTAATCAAGAATAGAATTTTATCTTCTTGTTTAATTGTGTATACTGATACCGTAACGGTAATAAATTAGTTGGAACACACATTAATGCACGTGGGAATTCAAAGATAGCGATAGAGATAGATAGATAATTTGAGTTATACATGTATCGATAAAAGAAGTGATTTTCATAACTATAAGTACTGTACACATCGACATGTAAATAATACGTACGTGTAATTTATCCCAATTTGACATTGGTTCAATCTTAGCACAGTGTAACAGTATTAATTAATTGACACTATACATATATGGGTACGTTGACAATAGCAGTTAACAGATCCGAATTTATTTTTAAATCCGGTTATATTAAAACCAGATTCAGTTTTAGTATATATAACGAACCACTTACATTGCTAATCATTAATCACATGATTTTCAGTCACATGCAATCTGACGAATGTATAATAGATAAATAAACAACCTTTTCGTATTGTAACGGTAACTGCTAGTAAAATAATTTCGGTAGGCATCCTTTAATTTAGAGTATACAAGACTTATAAAAAAACGCAATACTTAGTGTCAAGTGGTAATCTTGATATACTGTACAGTCAGCCTCCCTAAGTGCAACTCGTCGGGACCATACAAAACTTGCATTTAGAGAGATATTGCATTTATGAAGGTAAAAATACATATATATCTTATAAGCTGGGGCCAAATTAGAACGTGTATTTAGAGAATAATTGCACTTAGAGGGGTTGCATTTAGGGAGGTCTGACTGTACGTAGCTCATTCAATTGCGTTTATTAATATAGCAATTAATTATAAATCATTAAAACAATATTCAATAATCTTATTGCCTGTTAAAAATTTGATGAATCCATTGTTCATTGTAGTCGGACGTATCAATATTGAATGTTTCCGAATTAATTTAATCTCATGCATATCTAATTTATTGGAGCACTTCAGACACAGGTAAAAGGGATAAGGTTTACCAACTTTTAAACTAACGCATTTACAAATGTTTACGTTTATATATGCTTGATTTTAAATTTAGAATTGTTTCAAGTTGAATCGGTTTACTTAAAGTTTAACAATTACAAATCTTACTCCTTTTACCTGTGGGAGCGATCTAAACTCACACAGTGGTCCCTTTTCCAAACGTTAAGTCTGTGTGGTTCAACGACAACCTCCCCATTTCTGGCAGAAAAAAAATGGGGAGTTCATAACAGTGATTGGTTGATTCCAAACTCACGTACATGTATTTTGTGACATAAGGGTACGAAATACAAGCTACACTAAGATGTTCAATTGACTAATTACATGTACATAATGAGATTCCTTATTGTCACGATTTGATGTAACTAATGCATATCGTGTTTAATAAGACCGTCTATCAATCCTTAAAGATGACGAGAAAGTACGTTTTGATATAATTTCAAATTAAAACCTCCTATTAATAGTCTAATTGTTAAATCATGAATCAACAAACTCAAATCCTATCGCTATCACAACAAATCAACCGCGACCATCTTAGCAACAAAATCAACCACTACCACCGCTGGCGGGATATTTAAACAAACTTGGCGCTTTATGAATGGAACTATCAATATTTTCAAATACTTTTTCTCATCATCGATCAATTTTTATTTATTCTGATGCATTACATACCAATATATATGTAAAAAAAATATATGCTAAACCATGGGCGAAACTTTATTGTTCCAGAAATACAGTAGCAAAAAACTATATCATGGCTACTATACCACATCAAAATATCATATGACTGGCATAGTAAATGTTTCTTAAAAAAATGAAACCTGGCCAAACATCATTCTGGGATACATTTGCTAACGTTGTGGCGATAAAAGTTTGAATTTTCTTGATCCTATTGGCCCCAACTCACTAAACAAATCATAATTAGCCAATCCTTGTTTAGATATAATATTTATATTATGTTTTTCCGAAATGAAAATAGCAAACAAAGTATAACCCGAGACTTTTTTTTATTAAGAGGAAATCACATGTGCGGTGTGCATAATTAATTAATACATGAATTAAGGCAGTATTATTAAATAATACTAACACTAGCATAATTGAAAAAAAAAACAGATTCACCCATTATATATAGTTTTTCCTACTCTCTGTTTCCTAGAAGATAATAGTGATGTTAATGCAATTTTAATTAAGGTAAATCTTAACTTTAACACATGCCAAGCAAGTGTTCAATTCGGATAATTCCACGTCCAGATCTTCTGTATTATTTATCATTTTGCTCCACGCAAAATCAATCCACCACACATAAGAATGACCCGTTAACTCATTCCTTTCCATCATTATATTTTCTAATCTGATATCCCCATGTTTCACTCCTTTTGCGTGTATTGCCAGTAAACCATTAATGGCCAACTGTTTTTCTTTTTCTGTGATACTTCTATTATTTGCAAATGACTCTCCGGCAAACGATGTAAATATAAAAACAAATGCCTCGTGGAGAACCCCATATTTAAGAAGCTTTGGTATGTATTGCCTTGAATCTCCTTGAGAGGTCCAAGGTACATTTTAAGTTCATTTAGGATTTCCTGTAACAAATACTCTTTTTATATAGATCGACCATTTTAAGAGCACCTACTTGTTCGTGAAGCTTGGTCATAAAAATAACTCCAGAGCGACCATTTCCCAACACATCGCCAAATGAGAATTGACTACGTTTATAATTTTTCATACTATTGAGAAGTTCATTATCATTTAGTTTATCCTTTTCTTTTTTTGATTGACTGCGAGTGATTACTCCCAAAGTCCTCCTAAAGACATTACTCTTAGAACTTGATGACCGATATTCATCATCTTTGTCTCTATATTTATCAGTATTAGGTGGTGAAGAATGTGCAGTTGGTTTCGTTGTAGATATATTTTCAAAATAATACATACATTCAAGGAACGATGCACCATCATCTGTGTGACTTTGATTGATATGAACTGCCGGAGAAATGTAAATATTGTCCGGGTTATCATCCTGACGATAAAAAAACCATGTTCGAATATATGTTGTAAGAAGGCCATATTTGAGGTCATTAACGACCATATATCCAAAAAGTTGCCTAACGATTCTGATAATTTTTTGATGTTGAGTGTACGCAATTGTTCCATCATCTTCTGTTGTCAATGCTGTGTTATATGCATTAAACAATTCGGTTCCATCAGCTACCAAAGTCCTCATCAACTGTTCAGGTTTAACTTCAACTGCTGAAAATATCAGAGAGACATCCGAGTCATTCAAAAGCTGTATGTTACCAGCACCACAGCGTATAGCATCTGGTTGGCCTTTGATAGCCCGAAATACATAACGCTTACTCCAACGTTCTGGCGTTGGCAAAAGAATCAATCTCTGATTGTTGGTAGCTTCCATCGTTTTCAAGAACATGTCAACAACAGAATCTTCGACAGATATAGCCCCAGTGACGCTAGGCCTGCTAAATATACGATTGCCTGTGTCAAGAGCTGTTGATGCATAAAAGGCATTATTAAGAAAATCATCCCATGCCAGAACCGACATGTTAGGAATTTTTCTCGTTGCTGCTTTTGTTGTGGACTTTGTCGTAATCGGGTGCATTTTAGGAACAGAAAGAACTGTTCGGAGAAGTTCTTGCTCAGTAAGTTCTTGTAATGTGAAAAGAAAAGCGAGAGTTAGGAAATGAAATGAAAGGGAAAAAAATAAATGTTTAATATGATACAACCCAGGCGAGGTGAAACAGTGGTCAAGTCACCTCGCGTTGACCAAATTTATTACGACCCACTTACCAGCACTGGGTTGCTCTACGATAACGCGAATGTGTTTTTTGGGCGGGTTTGACGATAAGAAGCAGGAAAGAAAAGCACAAGAATAAGTAAGTATTCGGTATTATTGACGAATATGACACGGCTAAGAGAGAACATACCAGATTTTAAGAGATCTTTTAAATAAGCAACCACCTCTTCATTACTGCCACATGTAGGAAGGATGAGTTCCGCTTCAGTTCTTTTTTCTGGATTCTGAGTGAAGAAAGTTCGTAGCGCAGTTCTTTCCTCGTTTGAATCAAGATTTGCGATTGCTTGATAGACGTTGGACATGACTATTTCTTTAAAAAGTGTGGCACGCAACTGACTTAATACAGATATCTGTCACACCAGATTACAAAAATAATACTTCATAAAAAAAGTGCTAAGCTTTGAGATCGTGACGCGCGTCACAGTCTCGGGATTTACATATCAGGTGATAAGCGAAGAAGAAATGCAAGTATAAAAAAATAAATACAAGCGCGAGAGTATATGACAAAGCTTCTATGCTATAATTGTAAACTTGAGTTTATTGCTTGAAGTGTTGCAGGTAAGACAATATTCCAACTTATCTTGGGAATACAACTTCGCTAATTCAGGATCATAAGGGAACTGATTCCCATTCTCGCGGTACCATGAGCCATGTAATCCATAATTCCCATGTTTTCCATCACAAATAGGGCATGGTGAGCTCCACGGCTGAGCAAATGCAAAATTATAATTATCAATCCCTCTGAAACTATTTCGGAATTTCAAGTATGGGAAATGCTCTAAGACGGATTTGATAATTAATTCTGGATCGGGTTTGGCTTCGAAAGGGATGAGCCCTTTTTCTTCACATTGCTCGGGAAAAGATAAATATGATACTTTGTTTTCTGGCATCGAATTTATGACTTCCGATTTATGTACTTCTGATAATTGCCATGGCTCATGCCCAGTTTCTTTTTATATTTTTTGTATAAGTTGGACCTGGTAACCCACTTAATTTTGCATGCCAATCCAGATGTTCGGAGGTTAGTATTTTATCAGTCTTGGATTTTATATGATTGCGAGTCAATTTAAATCCCTTTTTTCTCATATAGATCTATTCGTTTGAAAATAAGATTAAAATTCCCAGATAGATTATCACTCCCAAAGAGTTACCCAGACTATTGTAAAGCAATGAGACTATGCAACTATTTCAATTTCACGCTGTTCACATTTAATAAAATATGATCCGGCTTAATATCTACCTTCTATACTTTCCTTATCATCTTGATCTAAACTGCATAATGGGCAGGTCCTTTTGGAACCGCATGATGTCTCATTAGTAATGCCATAATAATCGAAATTTTCGCTACTAAATTCTCTATATAAAGTAGAATATTGATCCAATGTTTTGTTGCGAAAATAGGTGCGGTCATGAGTTGGATTAGTCTTAGGAATTGATGAACGAGATGTAGTAAAAATGGTTACTTCAGGTTTTGAATGCACGTGACTCTGATCGTTTCCCGAGGAAACGGTTTTTGAGATTACTTGACCTATAACATTTGAATTTGTGTGTTAGTTAATTTTGAAATCTCATTTGCATAATACTACTACTCTGTAAATCTCGTATTAAATCAAGTTCTATGCTCGGATTTTTAGTAAGCTCGATTTCATCAGGGTCATCAAAATCTTGAAGAGCCTTCTGATGATTTCTTGAAGTTTTCTCGATTTTTTCAGACTTCTCTGAGACCATCTGATCGTTTCCCAAGGAAACGGTTTTTGTACTACTTTCAATTTTATCGTTTCCCAAGGAAACTGTTGGATTATTTCCCGCAGAAGGTAATACTTTAAGAGAGGCTGACTCATGTAGAAGTTTCTTCTCCTTATTGCGTTGCCTTATCCCATCACTAACACTTTTCTTATGTGCATCGTCCAAGAAAGTGTCCATTTCCCTGTCCTCCGATGATTTGGAGTTGGCAGGTATATTAGCTTTGGTATCCACATCCTTACCTTTGGTAACAGACGTATGTTGCTTGAGCTGGTCTGCTTGCTGAAGCAAACCGGGTACATCAACAGCTGATACCTCTGGTATCGCTGCCTCAAGAGCTTCACTAACTTGTGTCTGCCCATGATCCTGTTCCAACTTCGTAAATCTAACCCTAAACTCAGCATTCTCTGACTCGAGTTTAGTGATAACTGACTTATATTTCTCTAGCTCCACTATTTTGGCGTTAAGCTTACCAATCTCGACTGAAGAATCTGCTATAGCTTTCACTAACTCGTCATTTCTGGCATTAAGCTCCGTCTTAATTACATATTCTCAGCCTTGAGTCTAACATTTTCTTGCTTAAGCGAGTCAATCTCGGAATCCATTTTCTAAAATTTTTTATGTAATGTATAAGTATTCAAAGATAAAAAAACACGTGATTTTGGGCGAACCGAGTTCGCCGAAATTTGCCAAGAAAAATTTTTTATTAATACATGCAAAAATAAATACATTGATCGGGACTTTGCCCGTGATACATGACGATTTTTTTCTATGCTAATATACATGCGAAGCGCCTTACGACCGATTACTCCTGTTTTTCAAAATACTCTTGAACCCGTTGCCTTTTCGTTGCCGGCTCCTTTTCTATGTCCACCCTATCCTTCAATAAACCAACAATAACCTCCATTACCAGATTCACATTCTTGCGCAACTCCTTCTCTTCTTCCGAATTCTCTTTCAAGGCAGACTCGGTAAAGCGTATATTAAGAGGATTTTTACTTGTACAGGATATCCCGTCCGAGGCAAAAAGGATAAAATACCATTCCGTGGCTGTTGTGATGATCCCATAAATATAGTCGTAGTCATCCCCAAATGCTTCGCCCGACTTACGCTTTCTCTTATTTTTATTCACCTGTAATGCACTTTCGCATTGGACCAAATTCTGAGCAAAGTCCATGACCACTTGATGTAGCTTTCCTTCCGTGATGCAAATAAGTTCCTCGAGTGCCTTGATTGCGTAATCAACTCGTCCAGTACTTTCTTCACCAACAACTTCGAGCTGATGAGCTAAGGTAGGCTCTTTATTAGTTATTCTTTTGACGATATAAAGCGAAGCATGGAGAATGGCCGAAATATATTCACAATGCATGGCTTCGTTACTATCGGCAAGTAAAGTTCCCATATTTCCCAACCTGCGCTTTATTTCCTTTATACATTGTTGTAACTCCTCTTCTTCGTCTTCGAGTTTGTAGGTCGCCTATAAAGAAAAAGAAGTTAATGACTGTGTATGAAATTCCCGCTTCTCCGACAGACTCACAAGGTATATGAATTCTATCAAGAAAAAAATTTTAACTTCTCCCATTAGGCTTAGCTTATGAGGGAACTCACCGGTGGAAATTGTCTGATCGTGCCTATACCATTTCCATCTATATCATACTTTTTCAATACTTCCTTCAAACTGCGGTATGACGAGAACGCTTTTAATTTTTTCTCCTTACAGTCCTTGGCGAACTTTGCGAGGGTCATAGCAGGTCCTCCTTTCATGCCATATTCTTGAAAATCTTGCTTGGTCATGTCAAGGAAGTTCGAGCCATTAATCTCTTCATTTTGAGAACTGACCCACTAAGCCCCAAGTCCTGACCCTTCAAAGACTCGATAAGTTTGACCGTGCCATATTTTTAACATCGTCCGCTAGCGTGACCGTCTCATTCCAGCAACAGAGGTAGAGGTAGAAGCTGGAGTATTAGGTGTATTAGTTTCAGACATAGCGTTACGTTTTTATAGGGATATTGGGCTCGGACAAAAAATAGTGTTTCCGGAGTGAGATAAAAAATTATTTCTGTTCGGGAAAAGAAAATACTAGGGGTTAATATAGGTTTTTATGTCGCACAGGCATTGCATCATTACACGTGACCCGCTTTCACATATACGTTCGATAAAATAATACTTTATTTATGAAACAAAAAACGTTGCCGAGGCAATAACTAATACATAAAAATTTCTAACTAGTTGGGGGGTCGTCTGATTTCGAACCTTCTCCTTTCACACGGTAAACCGCTAATCCTGCTTTTCGAATATCTTGATTTTATAAAATAAGACTATTAGAATAACGAGAACAGATAGCAAAGCTAGAACATCCATCAATAAAATACTGCAATAACGTTATGCAAAGTGCCGGCTAATTACTCACTTAGCTCCTTAATATAATCCTCGAGCTCTAATGCTTGTCTTAATGACATCCCGTATTCCTTAAATTCTCACCCGGTTAGCTTGAGAAATAAATGACCGGTGATTTTTTCATCATGAAGTTTCGTAAAAAAGTTATCGTCAAGTTCTAAGCCTTCTAATTTGGAATCACCCCGCAAAGCTGATAAGTCTTTCAGTTTCCCATCCTTTTAATATGTCAGCCATGGAAGACATCTTGCTTTCCTAAACAAAAGAACCCACAATAAGAAACTTTCGCTCGCTCCCATACATACATAACTTTTGGCATATACACACCTTTAAATTTTTGCGGGAAAGTTGGCTGAACTTCCACATATTCCTACATGCTTTATATCTTGCTGGGGAAAAGTTAAGGAGATATGGGACGTAATTAGTATTGTCGTCTGATGCCAAGAGTTCTATGAAAGCGCATGCAAATGAAATCCTCATACCTTTTCACATGTAGATCTACCGGAAAGACATATAGTTGGTTTTACGCCTGGCGATCTCGGAATTGCGAGTCCCTCAGCCCTTCATAGCATATGCTTTTGTCAACACTATTTACTTTTACAGTAGGTCCTGTGTTGCATGTAGACTTTTTTTCACATTTTTTCTCACGGGAAAAAATAGAGGAACTTGGTTAATATATATTTTTTCGATAATTAATATGTCGCACAGACCTGTTATGTGATCAGCCTATTTTGTCGCACAGGAGTACTGCATGTGGCTCAGCAAAAAAATCTCCCTCACCACTCTGGACTGTTGATCTAGTCAACCCTGGATCGGAATACCACTGTAAATTATCACGCATACATAGAGCTAAAAGGTTCCGAGCTGAGATAATATGATTATTATCAACATTATGCTGTATAAGATGATTTCTAACTGCTTCAATAAAATCGAAGGGTGTTACATTTCCCAGAAAATACTCGACATGGATATTTGGATTAAGTGAAACAAGCCGATTTATAGCTTCTTTGCTAACATCGTAACACCCCCTCAAATTAAGCTATCTTAAATTAAGACATGATCTAGCAATTTTTTTGATAGTTATATCGGTAGTTATACAAAAGCTAAGATCGAGTTGTTGAAGCCTTGGACAAGAGCGAATAACATTACAAATTGATATTTCAGAAAATTCTGTGCGATTGGAAATATTTAGATACTCTAATTTATGGCATGAATTTGCAATTGCACATAGGTCTTTATCACCGTATCCTCGAACTATAGTTATATAATCAGCCAGTCCCTTACAGCGCAAAACAGATATATTGAGATACTTCAGATTTGGGTATGATTCTGCTATTAGCTTTAGAGCTTTACTAGTAAGACATTCAACTTTTTCGAAATTTAAATGAATTATATTAGGGAACATGCGCGCAATTCCTTTGATTTTCTTCGAAAGTGAGTGGTAGTATGATATTTTAAGATGAGTTAGATGTGAACCATTAATTAGTTTTCGTCCTCCCCACATACTATTTTTAAAAATCTTACCAATCGAGACTTATCCTCTACTTCGTTTCCCTTTAGCTCAATGTGTCTCCACAGAATAGGTGCACCGCATCTGTACCAAAGCCGGCAAACAAATAGAGTGAGATAGAGGGATTTATCTATCGCTAAGAAATATAAAATCTGTTCTAGTAGTTCCTGTATATTAAAAACGCCTGTATGCGCCATAAATAATATATTCTGTATCTTTAATCGAAAAATAAATTAGCCAAGCTGGTAGATCACTGCTCCGGACTAAGGCTTTTCACTATCTCATCCAACGCAAGTTCTTCTAACCAATCCATTTGAACTTTAAACATATTCTCAGGTGATAATCCATGGAGGAATAGCCATTTGAGCCGTTCTTCATGGTAGCCCACACTCTTTTAGTTTCGAATAAAAGTCCCGATAATTCACTACGTTCATGATCAGTGAAAGAAAAAACACGCATATAAAAAATCGAAAGCTAGACATCCCGAAGATCTTTGATCGAGGGAGGGACTTACCTCTTTTTCCCATACATCATTTATACAACAATTTTTTAGGTCCTGGTATGGGAGATACTTTAGAATAAATGGTATTAATTCAGGCGGAAGCTGATCAAGCAAATTAGCTGTATGCATTTTTTTAGAATATCTTTCAATCGAAAAAATAAGGTTAATCATTGCGCAGATCTGCTTATGCATTGTGGCCCAGCAAAAAATCTTCCGAGGCTAATGATCACTGCTCCGGATTAGTTAGATATTCACATAGCTCGGGATAATCAAATACGCCTACAACCCTATCTTGCCTTATATTCTTGACAGTGATAAAGCCGGTTGCCCTATGATATGTGTGTTCATATTTGGCTGGATTGCATAGTGGCAAATACTGCGTGGGGTTAGTAGTAAACTTACCTGCGGTCTTGCGTCGATTTTTTAGCTAATTTATCCGATTCAATTATTCTATTCTTTTTTCCGAATGAATATTAGAAATAAGGGACATTTCGTCTATATCACTTTTTAACATTTTTTCTAAATCGGCTTCGGGTGTTATAGCATCATATAGATAATAGATTTCTCAGGCAATGCTTTTAAGATTTTGATGTATCTTAGTCATATCACGTTCCAACGCTATAATGGACTTTGTTATTCACAATAGTATATATCTTTTCTTTTTCCAAATTTGTGTGATATTTTTTAGAAGGCATTTTTCTAATCCGGAAAAAAATAACTGAATATTTATTGCGCCAGAACAGAATCTATAATATTTATGTTGGCATCTCCTTCCTGCTTACATATATGCGCCATTCATTAGTCTAGCTTATGGTGGTGGGCTAGATAAAAATCTTGCTCTTCTCTAAATAAAATCCCTTGTATCCCACCAAGGAACCGCATTTTCAGCTATCTTCTGTATATTATATTTAACTATTTCTTTTTCTTGCCCGTAGAGCATTCTATTGCGAAGCATATAGCTTTCGATCTTCACCTGTTTTTAGCTGTCTCAATTTCCCTTTCGGTATAAGAATTCTCTATTTCTTGATGTAAATATCCTTGCATGAAATCATCATGAGGATAATTTCTCTCTATCTCTTCCTTTTCCAACTCCTTTTCTTGTTCTAATTTATAATATGCTAGCGCTTATATCTTCCATCTTTGCCGAAACTCATGTTGGATTTCTTTATACCAAGTGCTATTTATCCAGCAGAATTTATCAAGAGCCTCTAATGGGAGCTTTTTGACGATTTCAGCAATTGTATCTGCTTTTTCGAGCGGGTTGTATGAATGCATTGTATATCAAACGTATTGATTTACTTAACTAATGTTTTTTATTTCAATTGCTAAATTTTCCCTCACGTAAAAAACAACTTATAAGGAAGATTTGCCAAAGACGGCTAGATTGTCATTGCTCTAAGCATCTGTTCTATTTCATCATCTGACCTTTCACGATTCTCCTCCTTAGCTATATGATAATAAAGCTCATATAATTCCTCTAAACTGCTATATATAGATCATTATCTTCATATAATTTTCTAGCCTTTCAGTATATGCTTCTTCCTTAGGGAACATCTTTACTGCAAGTGTCTTAATATAGTTGTTCGGATCCTTTTCAGCTCGCAGTTTCTTTAGATAGTCTCCATAATTTTTCGCAAGATTATCATATTTTCTGCCCTTTCGCAATGCTGTTTTTATGATCAACCATTATGTATTTTTCTACTATAACAATTAAAAAACTTTAATTAATAAAAAATATATTCTTTAGTTATTAGTATTTTTTTTTACCCGAAAAAAATATTTGTTATAAAGCATCTATGCCTTGACACGAAGTTTAGCTTTCATAGCCCTTTCTTCTGCTTCCTCAGGAGATATTTCAGATGCTATCAGGTGTTTATATAGTCCAATTCGCCAATTTCCATATGGAAGTGTCCGAATTCCATCAAGTAAGATCCAGCGCTTGTTATCATATGGATTTAACCCTATCTTATTTACCCTCTCCAGATATATTTGATGATTATAACTGCGGAGACCATACATATCATGTCGGGTTAGCTTCCTAGTCCTGAGACATTCTAGAAATTTGTCATGTCGAAGCTCCCTTTTGACCACACATTTCTTTACACCCTTTGCCTTTTGGATGCCATACTTCTTTTTAGGATCTTCAGAATCTGGGTCATCGGGAGTTTTAGGATCATGACCTGCTGGAAGAACTGAATACATTTTTGGCTTTAAACATGCTGATTCGTCTATTGGATTTCCCTTTGTCTCATTCTTCATTAGAAATAAGTTACCTGAATAGTTAAGATCAAAAATATCTAACCTTTTCGCTTGATTTTTATACACTACCTGGACAAAAGTCTTGCACACCGAAAAATTTTAATTGTACAAAAATTACACATAATAATTATATTTCAAAATTTAATATAATGTTGTTTTGGTTTTGAACAAACGCGTGTATAATTTT